CGGCAGGATTGGGAGTGGATCTGAGGGGCACCAGCAGAGGCAGGAGAATGGTGAAGAGGCTGGTGTGAGAGGGTGAGGGGATAGGTCGGGATGGAGAGGAGAAGGTGGCCTTGTTACACATGTAGGCTAGGAAGCCTTTTGAGAAGCCTGGCTGTGCAAGGAGGAGAAGTAGGTAGGTAGCTGGAGGCAGGTGCAGGGTTAAAGGAGGGTTTTTAAAGATGAGAGACATTTAGGCTGAGAGAGGGGAGACAGCAGAGACTCCTAGACAAGCAGGAGAGAAGGGAAGAAACTGCTGCTGGGAAGAATGGGAGAAGGGGTCGTTTGGGGACTCACGAGGGGACTTGGGATGGCTCTGAGGACCCAGCAGAGGTGGAAACCATGAGGTCGTGGCAGGGCATCCAGCACCGCTGCTCCCCTGGCACTGGGTCACAGCAGGAGAGGTCGACTTAATCCTAGCTGGGGGCGGGTTCATTCCTGCCCCAAACGCACACAGCTTTTCCCTCTCTGGAGCCCGCGTCTGATGGTTTCTGACTTTCTTTACTAGCAAACTACGGAGCCAAACTTCCCCGAAATCCTCTTAATTGCCATCAACAAGTATGGGGTCAGCCTCATCGATCCCAGAACCAAGGTGAGCAATGACAGGAAGAGGGGCCAGGCAGGCTTCTCTGTCTGCACCTCTCACCAAGGCCCCCAGACTCAACCCCATAAGCCCCTGCCAGCCACCATCCTCACCCCATCTGCCCTCTTGGCCACATCCTGAGAGGCTGGCTGTGTTTGCTGTGTCTACTTCCTTACCCCTCATCTGCTCCATCAAGACTGCTCTCCTAGTTACTAGCAAACACCTCGCTACTAAACCCAGTGAGCTCTTTTTAGTACTTGGCCTTTCGGCATCCTCGGACACCACCACCCGCTCCCTCCTTCCAAAGTGCTCTCTGTCCGTATTCGTCAGGATGGCAGGCTGTGCTGGGGAAAGTGCTGCTCTGATTTATGCGCCAGAGCAGTCCCCCCCAGGGGGCCAGGAAGCACAGTCCTGCCACTTACACAGGAGGGGTACAACAGGACCATTAGCAAAGGGTGCCAGTGACCCCCATCTTCCTCTTGGCTTCGTGTGCCGCACTTGCCTGGTTTTTCTCATCTCTCTCCGTCATTCCTCTCAGACACTTTTGTGGGCTTCTTCTCTACCCAGCCCATCCATATTGTTTCCCTAAGGCTCTGTCCTGTCTTCTTGTCTTCTCAGACTCCCCCTGGACTGTCTCCTCCAGGAACACAATTTCAGTTCCTTTAGGCCTCCCAAATTTCCAATTCCGGCCCCACATACCCAGCAGCCTCCTGGACTCCTGTCGGTGTCCCACCAGCTGATCCCAGCCAAGGCACAGAGGGGGAAGGCACCTGCCTCCCTCCACAGCTCCACGGCACAGCTGGCCTCCACCCTTCTGCTCCTTTTCTTGTCTGAGGGCCCGGGGCCTTTTGTGTGGGTGGTGTCTGCGGGCCGGGGTTGAGGGGAGTGAGGCCGAGCGTCCAGGCTGTGCAGCTTCTCTCTGCTGCCCCAGGACATCCTGACCACTCACCCCTTCACCAAGATCTCCAACTGGAGCAGCGGCAACACCTACTTCCACATCACCATTGGAAACCTGGTGCGCGGGAGCAAGCTGCTCTGTGAGACGTCGCTGGTGAGAGCTCTTCCTTCCGGGCCTGGCGGGCTCCCCTGCTACTGCAGCCATCTGCCCAGGCCCTGGAACAAACATGAGGGGCGTGCAGCTTGGCCCGGGGTCAGGACCAAGGGTCAGGCTGGGGCCAAGGTCAGGTCAGTTTGAGGCTCAGCTTAGGTCTGGGGAAGGGGCTTAATCTGAGGCTGAGGAACAAACCCCTCATTCAGTAATGATTGTTTGAGTGCCTTCAGTGTCTGGGGATTGAGCCTTTAGCCCCTGATTTCAACAGCAGAACCATTAGCAATGAGGCCTCCTGGACTGAGCTCAACTTCTAAAGCATAGCTTAACTGGTAGGGCCTATAGAGTCGCTCCTGGAGGTGGGCATCCAGGATGTGAGGGACCCACAAGCTAGGGCCTTAATGTGGGGTCATAACAGCTTAGAACCTAGACATCTGGATGGATGAATCCAACGCTTCAACTGTGCAGCTGGGGAGACTGAGTCCAGAGTGGGACAGGATTGGCCTTTGTCCAGGGTTCTGCCCACTACTGAGTTTCCTGGGAGCTGTCTTCTGGGTCTGAGTGGGTCTGAGCCCTGTCCCACTTTGTGCTCTGTTTATCTTCTTGCCACCGTTTCCAGGGCTACAAGATGGATGACCTCCTGACTTCCTATATTAGCCAGATGCTCACGGCCATGAGCAAACAGCGGGGCTCCAGGGCTGGCAAGTGAACAGTGGGGAGGTGGCGCTGGCCCCGTGCCTGCTCTCTAGGCAGCAGCTGGCTCAGGCTCATCAGCTACAACTGCAGCTGGGGAAGACTTTTGCCATCCAGGCGGGGAGGCTGGGCCAGCCGGCCACCACTGACCGCACCAACTGGGCCTCTGGCCCTTCTTCCAGTGAGGCGGCCCCGCTGGGATGCAGGACTCCCCTCCTTCCACTCCTGAGGCCCCTGGGTTGGTTTTCTCCTGGCTTGCTGTGGCCTTCCCAGTTGTAAGAGCCTGTGCTCCTTGGATGCCTTTCTTGTCTCAGACCAGCCCTACCATGCGACCGCCTTTGACTTTCTAGGCACCACTGGGACAGGGAGTCAAGAGGACAGCCTAGTTCTCCATACTGAGAACAATGAAACCAAACCAAGCAAACCAAGAATAATATTCTGAAACCTAAGGGGCTGGCGTAATTCCCCTGAGTCCAGGCTCCTCAGCTGGGGTGAGGGAGACAGACCATTTTGATAGATTGCAGTGTGAGTGCTGAGCCCCTGCTCAAGTCTCCTCTGATCACCTCAGGGCATAAGGCATGGTTCATCTTCTGGCCCTCCAGTGTCTTTGCTGGGGGAAGGGAGAGGGAGGGGGAGAGTGCGTGGGGCCAGGACAGGGCCCTATGGGAAAGTGGCCTGTGTAACTATCTCCTTGGTCTGTGTCTGCAGGGCCAAGCTGGTCTGGGTTTGGGTGCCTGAGCCTAAGGTGTGCTTGAAAGGGGTATAGAGGCACTGGCTGGGACCAGGGCAGGTTGGGGAAATGCTGGACGGCAGCCTGGGAGGTGGGGACCTAAGTGTGCATGGGTTGGGGATCTAGACCAGCTTCTGGGCCTTAAATAGGGCCAGTGGAGCCAGAGTGGCCCTTGAATCCTGCCAGAAACATCTTCTTGGCTCTTCAAGAAACCTCCAAGAACCCCAAGAACAATGCTGCCTTGGGTTAAATCCTCATATCAGTGGGTGTCTGTAAAATGTTACTTTGTGACCAGGATGGAACAACCAAGTTTGGCCATGAACTGGACAGGTCTGGGGGTGGGGGCTTCAGACAGCAAAGGTGTGATCTGGGAGTGGGGCATCCTAATGGGCTGTGGATGGGATGAGTGCCGAGAAGTAACAGTGAAGAATCCCCTTGAGGTGGGTGTGTTTGTGATCTGCCCTCAAGGACCCCCTGATACCTCAGCAGAACCAAGTCCTGCTTGCCCTCACACACTCAAGTGTCTGGGGCCCTCTGCATCTAGGTGCCCAGCACTTCACAGGGAGCGCTCTTCCTGTTCTCCCCAGCTGCCTGTGTGGGAGGCAGAGGGGTTGGTTGTGGAAATGGAGGTCCCAAATCAGATAGCCCTGCTTTCTGCAATGATAATGTGGATGTCTGAGACAGCCCTGCCCCACCAATGCTTATATGACTCCACAGTCAGCCCAGGAGAAATCTGAGCCAGAAGAAAGGTGCTGTGGTAGTCTGCCTCTACACCATCATCAGACAGATGGGGATACTGAGGCCCAGAGAAGGAGTGTGAATAGGTGAAGGTCACATAGTAGAACTCAATTCACTGCTTCTAACATTGGGCTCCCAGACAGAAGGGGCTCCAGATGCTTGTTCTAAGCTCTAGTTTCCCTTCAAGGCCAAAGGCTATTGGGTGGGCTTGGGATTATGCCCATCATCCCATTGGGGCATCAGCCATTAACAAGCACTGCATGCTAGATCACAGAATGTGCTTGTGGGATGAGATCTCTGCCCCTGACTCATGCCCACGCCAGCTCTCATTCTCTGACTCATGATGGCATCACTTTGCACTCATCCCCTAGTCTTTGTCAGCCTGAGTAATCACAGAGGGGTCCAAAGAATACACCATTGACCTTCTGGTTCCTGAGAGGTTGCCTTTGTTTACATGCTGATGTTCACCACAGCCACACCTGTAGCAGGGAACACTACGAAGGGTTAGGATGAGACAAACCCTCTAACATCCAGAGAACCAGCTCCAGCTCCAAGACCACAACTGTTTTTCCCTTGGCCATCCCCTTGAGATGCATGCTTGAAGAAAAGACTAGACAAGACTGGCTCTCCTGAGAGCCTCAGTGGCTCTTCTGTGCCCTTTCTTGACCACCCCCACCATCACCACCCTTAGGCACAGAAAGGAAGAGGAAGGAGGGAGCAAGATGTGGCTAATTATTCTTGAAGACAGCCCAAAGGAGGAGGACATGCTGGATGTGGTGGAAAACATCATAAAAGATGATTATTGGGAGGATTCAACACTAGGGGTCTTTTTGGGTTGTGTTTCAGAATGAGGGACCTCTATGGAAGAAATTGTTGGTTCATTCCCCTGCAAGTCAGGCAATGCAGTTTCCAGGGTGGCCTCTCTGGTAGCATCCCTGGTGGGTTCTTGGATGGGTTCAGAGTCCTTCTGAGTGGGCAGTGGTTGTCTGACGTCATCTATGCCAGGCGTCAGTGGTTTGCTGGCTTCCTCCTCGGGGACTGCTGAAAACTGCTGAGGGCCTGGGTTTCTCCTCAGGCTCTTCGTTAAAGCCGGGGAGAGGGCTCCTAGAGTCCAGGGGCTTTCCCTAACTCGGGGGGGCGGCTCTCTGGATATAACCGATGCCCCTGCATTCTTACTTCTCCCCCTTTGGTGGCTCTGAGTACCTGAGGGATAGAAAAGACAAAAACACAGATTCCTCAACTGTCACTTCTCCAATCTTTGCCGGTCATGTGGTGAAATCCTAGTCATCTTTAAAATGTTAGTCCCTTAGTTACCATCTCAGGTTCCTTCCCCCTACTTCTTTCCCTACCCCAGACTTTGTGCAGACTTTATTATGGTCCTCCAATTCAGCATGGTGCTGGAGTTTGAGTCTATTGTGTGAGGTTCTAGCTCACCATGGAAGCCCTCAGAAGGCAGAGACTGACATTTGCTTAAAGTTCATGCATTTCACAACCATTGCTTCCAAATCAGTTTGAATAGAAAAATGAACACATCCTCAATTAGAGTAGGGGCTTTTTATAAAGGCAGAGACTTTGTCTTGCTTGCCACTGCATATACAGTGCTCAGAAGTGTCTGTCACACAGTAAGTGCTCAAAACAATAATTTTTATCTGATAGAAAAAATAGATGATGGAGGCTTCTTCCAGTAATGGAGCTAGGAAATTGACTCTTGAGACAAATTAAAAACTGGATAATATACAAAACGAAGAAAACATCTTAAATTTATCTAAGCATTTACAATGTGGTAGGGAACTGTGGGGCCAAAATCTAAAAGAAAGTGAGAATCCCCAAAGAAGTAAGCCCAGAACTCAGTTATTTTTGCCCTGAGTGTAATTTCAATCTTGAAGAAACAGCTGTACATGTGAGCTTCATTTTTGTCAGCTTCACAGGAGGGAGGGGATTTTTATTGCACTTGATCTGAATTTGTGGGTAAATTCCATGACAACTAATATCTACGACATTAGGTTTTCTAATCCACAAGTGTGGTATATTGCTCCATTTATTTGGGTCTACTTTGCCTCAGTCAACTTTTGTAGTTTTCATTGACCAATCATATATCTTCTTTGAAAGGGCTTGCAAAATTTGCCTTAAATTTATTCTTATGTTTTTATGCTGTTGTAAGTGATGCCATTTAAATTTAAGTATATAGTCATTGCTAATATATAGACATACAATTGATTTTTCTGTATATTGACTTTGTATTCTGAGACACTGCTTAACTCACTTATTAGTTCCAGTAGGTTTGTTTGTTGTTTGATTCTTTAGGATTTTTTAATGTAAATAATCACATCTGCAAATCAGGAGTTTTATTTCTTCCTTTATATCTGTTACTTATCTTAATAAACTGGCTAGGATCTCCAGTACAATGCTGAATACAAGAGGTGAGAGCAGATACCCTTGCCTTATTTCTGATCTTAGAGGGAGAATATTCATTGTTTCCCCATTAAAAATCATACTGGCTGATTAGGGTTTTTGTAAATGTCTTCCATCAGATTGAGGGAGTTTCATTCTATTCCTAGTTTGCCCAGAGCTTTTATCATAAATGGGTGTTGACTTTTGTCAGTATGCTTTTTCTACTTTATTTTGTTAATATGGTGAATTGTGTTAATTTTCAAATGATATATCCATCTTGCACTACTGGGATAAACTCCACTTGCTCATGATGTGTTATCTTTTTTATATACTGATGGATTCAATTTGCTATGATTTTGTTAAGGATTTTTATGTCTAAGTTCATGAATGATATTGATCTGTAAATTTAGTTCTTGTAATGTCTTTTTCAGGTTTTATATGAGAGTATTGCTGGTCTCAAAGAATCAACTGGGAAGTGTTCCTTCCTCTTCTTTTTTTCTGAGCTGGTATAAGATTAGTATTATGTCTTAAATATTTGATTAACCAATGAAACTTTTTGGGCCTGGACTTTTCTTTGTGGTGAGATTTTTGATATATGAATTTGATTCTGATAGACAGTGAGTTATTGAAAATTTCTATTTCTTCTCTCAGTTCTGGTAAGTTGTATATTTCAAGGAATTTGGCTACTTCAAGTTGTCAAATTTAATGACACAAAATCATAATTTTCCTTTTTATGTCTAGGATCTGGAGAAATAGTCCCTCTTTCATTCATCATGTGTCATATTGGCAATCTCTCTCTCATCTTGCTAAGAGTTTATCAATTTTATTAATTTTTTCAAAGAACTAACTTTTCACTTTTCAAAGAATTAGCGTTTGCTCTATTGTTTGTGGCTTTTCTATTTCATTGATTCCTGCTATCTTTATTATTTCTCCCCTTTTACTTGGGGAAAAATTTACTCCTTTTTTTAGGCTCTTAAGGTAGAAACTTAATCAATAATAAACCTTTCTTCCTTCTAACATTTAAAGTTACAGATTTCCCTCTAAGTCCTACTTTAGCTGTATCCCACAAATTTTGCTGTTGTATATGCATTATCATTTAAAAATATTTTCTAAATTTCCCATGTGATTTATCCCTTGATCAATGGGATGTTTAGAAATATATTAATTTCCAGCATTTAGAGTCTTATCTAGATATTTTATTAATGTTTGTTTCTAATTTAATTATATTGTGTTCACAGAACATACTTTAAGATTTCAGTCTTTTGAAATTTATTTATTGAGACTTGTTTTATAGCTTGTCATGTGGTCTATTTTGGCAAATATGCCATGCACACTTGAAAATATTGTATATTCTGAGTTGTTGGATATACTATTTCATGTCAGTCAGGTCAAGGTGGCTGAAAGTGTTGTCCAGACTTCTATATCCTTTCTGACTGTATCTTTTGTGTGTTTAGTTGTTATTTCAGGTACTGAGAGAGCAATGTTAAAATCTCCAACTGTGATTTCTCTCTTTCAGTTTTTGTTTCATGTGTTTTGAAGCTCTGTTATTAAGTATACACACAGTTATAATTATAATGCCTTCCTGATACACTGACCTTTTCATCATTATGAAATCTTTGTTTCTAGTAACATTCCATGTTTGAAGTATATTTTTTCAGATATTATTTCTAATGCTTATTGTTTTGCATGGCATATCATTTTCCCATCCTTTCACTTTTAATCTATTTGTTCTTTTTATTTTAAGGATTTCTTTTGTAGATGGCATATGGTTGGGTCTTGCTTTTTTCTATCCAGTCTGACAATCTCTACTTTTGATTTGGGTATTTGGTCCATTTACATTTAATGTAATTAATAAAATGGTTGGATTTATGACTACCATGTTTCAACTTGTTTTCTGTGTGTTTTGTCTGTTATTTTTCTTTCTTTATTCTCTTTTTCCCAAATCCATCTGCTATAAGAGATATTTGCCTGCTGGCTTTGAAGAAGTAAGCTGCCATGTTGTGAGAGGGTCATATAGTTAGGACATGAAAGTGAACTCAAGGAGCTCAGAGCAAAGCCCTACCAACAGTGATCAAGAAAACAGGGACTACTTCAATCCTACAACTGAAAGGAACTAAATCCTATGAACAATCAGTGAGCTTGGAAAAGGACTCTAAGTCTCAGATGAGATTGCAGCCCAGGCCAACACCCTGATTTTAAACTTGTGAGACTCTAAGCAGAGGACCCAGCTAACCCATGCCTGGACCCCTGGCCCACAGAAACTGTGAGATGATAAATTTGCGTTGTTTTAAGCTGCTAGGTTTGTGGTACTTTGTTACACAGCAATAAAGAAACTAATACATACAGCAATAGAATCTATCCAAAATGAAGCACAGAAACTAAATAGGCTAAAAATAAAAATGAACAGAGTCTCAGTAACCTATGGGATAATATCAAACTGTGCAACATCTATGTAATTAGAATCCCAGAAAGAGGGTAGGGGCAGAAAAATATTTGTAAAAATAAAGACTAGAAATTTATCCAATTTGATGAAAATTATACTCTGATCTAAGAAGTTCAGCAACCCCAAGCAGGATAGACACACACTCATATACACCAAGGTAAACCATAATCAAATTACTGAAAGCCAGTAATAAAGGGAACAATCTCAAAAAACAGTCAGAGAAAAAGAACATATTACAAGTAGAGGAACAAAGATAAGAAAATGGAAGACTTTTTTTTTTTAGACTATTCATAAGAAACTATATGAGACAGAACACAAAGGATTTACTTCTGTAAAATGCTGAAAAATCCATCCAAAAGCTATAAAGAGGACCAATGCCATCTGGTGGCATCAGCAGATACAGCAGGACATGCCTATCCTAGAGGTGGTTGTGGTGCAAGATGTGACAGTGTGCTTAGTGTTCGAGGCTCTATTCTCCTTAACCTGAATGGATCTGGCCTGTGGTTTTGGCTTCTTGGCAATCTTCCTTGTTCCTTCCTTGATTCTAAACTTGGTCCTGTACCTTCTAGGTGTCTCTCGGAGGTACTCAAACAGCCTTTAGATACATTTTCTTTCTGCTTATATCAGGCAAAATTAGGTTGGGTAACAGGCAACTAAAAACTCTTAAAAACAGGAAAAATTCTTAATTTATTTTCTGTTCACCTTATTTTCTTATCATCATTTCAACATGTTGGGGAGTTGAGGTCAAGTTAACTAAGCACTTTTTCTAACACATTATAGCCACTTCATTCATCCAAATTCATAGTGTTCTTTGAATTTTCCTTCAAAACTTCTCTCTCTTCCATGCTTTCCTAACCATTTCCATGTTCTTTTCATGTCTTGGCTGGATTCCTGTTACGGGCTGAATTGTGTGCCCCCCAAATCCACATGTTGAAGCCCTAACGCCCAGTACCTCAAAATCTGACTATATTTGGAGATAGGTCCTTTAAAAAGGTGATTAAAATGAAGCTGTTAGGGTGGGCCCTAATGCAATCTGACTGGAGAAGAGACAATTTGGACACAGAGAGACACTGAGGGTGCGTGTGTGCACAGAGGAAATGCTATGTGAAGACACAGCAAGAAGGCGGCTATCTACAAGCCAAGGAGAGAGGCCTCAGAAGAAACCAAACCTGTTGACACATTGATCTTGGACTTCTAGACTCCAGAATTGTGAGAAAATAAATTTCTGTTGTTTAAGCCACCCAGTCTGTGGTATTTTGTTATGGAGCCCTAGTTTATTAACACAACTACTGAAAATCGTAAGGTGGCTGGAATACAGCCTTCAGACTTCTTAACAGCCAATAGAGTTATCTTTTTAAAATCTATGTAA